ATGAAATTTTTATCATTTTTTTCACACAAATAGATATTTCTTTTGGTGGTGTTTAATCACCACTGGGTGTTTTATTTTTTGCGCTATAAACAAAAAAAGACAGAAAATTTGGAAAAAAAAAGTTTTTCTTTGTTGTGTTATAACATTTTGCAAATAAATAATCTTTCTACACAAATTTAGGCCAAAATGTATTCTACATTTATTTGGTGAAAAGAACCAAAATCAGTGTATATTGTTTAGATGGCAGGAAAGTTATAGAGTCCACAAACTATGGGATATATCTAAAAATTGATAAATCCTGATGTACTGACGGCTGAACTAATTTCTTGAGGCTGAAAAACACCAGGACAGTACAGATACCCCCAAAATGACTGTTTTTCGGAAAGTAGACAGTCTGAGGTATTTAGTATGCGGCATGGCAAGCTTTTTGAAGTTGTCATTTTTTTGTCATAATTTTGTGAACAATGAAGAAATGGGAAAAAAAAATTCACAATAGTTTATTTTTTACATACTGTCACCAATGCAGTACAGCATCATCATATAACTGGCGTGGGACACTGGTGACGGTATGTAAAATAAATAAATAAATAAATGAAAAAAACTTTAACATTTTTTATTACTTTTTTTTATATTTTTACTACTTTTTTTTCTACTCCTGTGGCCAGAGCAATACAATGTTACTGTAGTAGCATTGTACTATTCTGGGCAAGTGTTTAGGTTTTTGTTTTTTTTGTAACATATTATTATTATTATTATACAGTATTTATATAGCGCCAACGGTTTGCTCAGCGCTGTACATTATAATGGGAGACAGTACAGTAACAATATAATACACAAGGGGTTCGAGGGCCCTGCTCCTTGGAGCTTACAATCTTATGCTTGCTTATACCAACAAATTACAATGGTATAAGCAAGGATGTTTACTGAATGAAACTGATTCATTCAGTAGATTTTGTTGTGATCAGCTGTGATTGGCCAAAGCTGATCACATGCTACAGATGGGCTGTGATTGGCCCAGTCTGTACATGTGATGACTGTGACCAATCACAGCTCGTAGCACAGATGCAAAATGCAATGAATGGCATGTAAGGAAGCTGTTCATTGTGTACAACTGTCATGTAATGTGCTGTGATTGGTCACAGTGATCACATGACAGGGCCGGTGTAGTGATCTGTCGTGTCCCGTGGGGTATGCATGAGACGCGATCCTGGAAGGACGTCATTTGATGTCCTCCCAGGATAATAGGGTTCCCGCTCGGAACAATAGGCCAGGTGGGAAGAAGTTATATATTTAAATACCCGAAGTCAAAATCCTGCCTAAAAGCGGGCAATACATTGCTTTCCAGCTCTTACCTAATAGTTCATGCCCACCTTGCTGCTGAGCCAATCAGAGTAAACTAATCTGCATATTACTCATATAATAACCCTTTGGGATATTTTTTGGTATAAATAACTAAATATAAGTGTGTTTTTAATTTAACATTTTATCAACTGTTTCAGAACTGACTGAAGTTTTCCAATGTATAAGAAATAAAAATGAATTATATCAGAATGGAAATTACCTTTTAGTCTCCACGATGTGAATGAGCTGTGTGGAAATTGGGTCTTCTCGTCAAAGGATAGATGAATGTGTATTATTGCTCTTTTGCTATTTGTCTAGAAGGTTCTTGATTCTCAGGAGCCACTATTTTGTTGTAAAAAATAGAAATTGAGTTTTTGTTATTTTTTACTGCCTTCTGGTGGTTTTATAAGTGTGTCTTGATGCTTAGGTGATGGTTTTCATGATGTTCACATGTTTGGGGACTCTGGCTGCTGATTAGAAGCCTTAAGTAAGAGCTATCAGTATGTGTGACCACTTTGTGTTGGAGTCCACTTGGCATTGATACAAATGTATTATTTTCTTCTATTTTATTTTTGGATTGGTTTAGCTATGTAGTAGAAGATAACAGTCACCTGATCACTTCTATATACTGAGGAAGTTCTGGCTTTAATTTTCCTGGCTGTAATGATATATTTCAGACACTAGAGGGCAGGCTAAGTCTTGATATTCCAGGCACTGGGGCCACACAGTAGCGTTCTAAGCAGTTTTACATTTCAGTAGAACCAGCTGCTGACCTAATATCCCATCGCAGTCACACAGAATCCAGCCATTCTGATCTATACCGTGCAAATTATAAGAGAGCAACTTGGGCTAACCACTTTCAGGCCGCCCTATAGCAGATAAAATGCTACAGGGCGGCAGGGGTGCGCAAAATCACGTATATATATGTGATTTTGCATTTCCGGGTAAGGGATGTGCGCCCTGCCCATGCCGCTATTCGCAGCCTTGGCCCTTGCCGACACCCGGTGATCGCCATCCATTACCGATGGGGGGGAAACTGTATGTAAACAATACAGTTCTCTCCCCTGTCAGCTCCTGCACACTGCTTTGTATGGCTCTGCATAGCAGAGCCATTCAAAGCAGTGTGCTTACACAGTAAAGCGCACACACACGGCTTACAGTAAAACAGCACACAGTTAACCCTTTGATCACTCCAGATGTTAACCCCTTCCTGCCCAGTGCCATGTATTGGTGTCACTGGGGATGTCATTGACACCAAATCAGTCCCCCCAGTGTCAGAATGCCCGCCACAGTCCCACTGTAAGTTGCTGATCGCCACCATTACTAGTAAAAAAAGAAAAAAATCCCAGTATATATACCACCATTTGTAAATGCTATAACTTTCACATAAACCAATTAATTTACACATATTGGGATTTTTTTTTTAGCAAAGACATGGAGCAGAATACATTTTGGCCTAAATTTATGACAAAATTTGATTTTTAAATTTTTTTTACTGGACATGTTTAATAGAAAAAAGTAAAAAATATTGTTTTTCTCTCAAAATTGTCAGCCTTTTTTATAGTTCAAAAAATAAAAAACATACAAAATACCATCGAAAGAAAGCTCTATTTGTGGGAAAAAAAGGGACATAAATTTCATTTGGGTGCAGCGTTGCATGACCGCGCAATTGTCAGTTAACCACTTTCCGCCCAGCCTATAGTCAAATGACGGCCGGGCGAACCTCTCGTCTCTTCGGTAGGGCGTCATATGATGTCCTTCCTGGATCACGCTTTGAGCGTGCCCACAGGGCCGCACTGTGGCGAGACCTGTCACTGGCTGTGTACCTCGGAACACGGCCGATGACAGATCTGTGTACCGGCCCATTGCTGGTACCATGTGACCTGCTGAGACCAATCACAGCGGATCACATGATAGTTGTATATAATGGATGGCTTCCTTTCATGCCATCCATTGTATACAAGTGTGCCTAGCTGTGAATGGTCACAGCGATCACATGCACAAGCTGGGCCAATCACAGCTCACCTGTGTCATTTGATTAGCCATGGCCAAATCACAGCTATTCACAATAAAAAACCCTGAATGAATCTATTTCATTCAGTTAAATGTTTGCTTATAGCAAAGAAATTATTTGCTATAAGCAAACATTTAACTGAATGAAACATTTAACTGAAAGAAACAAAGAAACCTGTTTTTTTTTTCTAAATTTTCGGTCTTTTTTTGTTAATTTAACAAAAAATAAAACCCCAGTGGTGATTAAATACCACCAAAAGAAAGCTCTAGTTGTGTGAAGAAAATGATAAAATTTTAGTTTGTGTACAATGTTGTATGACCGCGCAATTATCATTCAAAGTGTGAGAGCGCTGAAACCTGAAAAATGACCTGGGCAGGAAGGGGGTAAAAGTGCCCGGTATTGAAATGGTTAAAGTAACGCAACCATAACTGAAAAAATAGCCTGGTCAGGAAGGGGGGTAAAACCTCTGCAGGGCGAGGGGACAGTATAGTGATGTATTTTGTGCATTCCTACAAGAAGTGTGGAGAGGAAACTGTATTTAGCACACTAGGTTATATTTATGAAAACAGACACACATAGAGGTTTATTCAACCTGGGACTGGACAGTGAAGGAGAAGCAGTACAGTGATGATCTTATTTCTCGGTCACTTTGCTCTCTTCTACTACCAGCATGCTCCTTGTGCTGTTTCTTATTTTCCCAGTCTGAGCTCTGCTGTATAGGGACATCAAGAAGGTGGTAAAAAGTAATATTTAGGTATTAATGATTACAGAGCTGCCTGAAGTTCAGATTTAGGAGGTACGTGATAACTAATATACTAGCAAATGATGCATGGTTTTAATTTTTATCAGCTTAGTGTAACCTATAAATAAACATTTTATATACATTTTAAGAATGCTTCACTAAACAAAATAACCTCATCAAACCGCAGTTGATGCCAATGGCTACATTCACTATCAAATGTCAATATGTGGCAGTTGAAGGATGGATAGAAGCCAGGATGGAGATAGGTCCTTGCATCAACTGCCATTTGTGAAGGCTCATGTCGCTTCTCATCAACTGCCACTGAAATCTATCACCAATACCTCTAAATGAAATAAAATATATTCCCAAATATATTGACATATATCTGAAATACTACAATGTTTCTATATATATATATATATATATATATATATATATATATATATATATACACACACACACTGCATGTTGAAATGCATTTTTTATATATTACAAAATATATGAAAAATATTTTTTTAAAATTATATTTTTTAAATATATTCTTCAGATTTTTTTTAACATTATCAATTCAACATATATTTTACATATATTTGTAAATGCATTCCAAAAATGTAGATTTGTATTTTTAAAGACCTACAGTATATTTGAAAATGTATTTTTAAAAATATTCATATATTTTGTAATAATAAACGCATTTCAATATACTGTGTGTGTGTATGTATGTATGTGTATCTATATATATCTATATATATCTATATATATATATATATTGAATATGGCCAAAATTGTAGTACTTCAAATATATGTCAATATATTTGGGATGAATATTTTTTTTAAATATATTTCAAATATATTTTTTTCCATGTGGGTATTCATTGTCTTTTCTTATTTTCCCCTGAACAGAATCTAAAATGGAAAAACGTGGGATCATCGGACTGTGTATTAGCATTATTTTCATTCTTTTGGTGATTTGTGGTTTTGTAATCGTTACAAAGAAAATTCTTTCAAGTAAGTATGGATTCCAGGGCCAGAAAGAATTACATATGGGTAAGGTGATTGGGTTTAGGGTGACTTGTGTATTTTAAATGGAAATTCTAATAGTTTTGAGTGACAATATTTTTTAACTCGTTCTATAAAATCTTGCAAACAAACAGTTATAAGGGATGTAGCCAAGATGCAAGATTCCCAAAGCATTATGAGTTTTATATACAGGTAAACTGTTTGCCTTCTGACTATTTCTATTGGATAGAAACTTCAGACTGAACAGAGCAGGCAGAGTGCGGGTTAAGGGGGAATGAGTCACTGCTCCAAAGCTGACCATAGAAGGAATGAAATTCAGCTGGCCCAGCACGGAGTGGCCGAATTTTGATCAGTGTGTGGCTGCCCCGTTTAACAGAAGTTGATTGCTAGATCAACTTCTGTCGAAGGGACACGCTGAAAACATGTTAATCAGTGGCTGATCAGTGTATTCTGACAGTGCTGGGGTCCTGCTGTCAGCATACATTGTCCTGACGGGGTGGGGAAGGGGGATTCCTCAATTCACCTTTGCATGAAAAACAAACAAACAAAACTACTCATCTATGGCCAGCTTAACTCAGCAAATGAAATAAGGATAGCCTGGAAAATGTGAAAAGGAGTCTAGAGCTCCACCTGCTGGGTAATAGGAAAATAAACTATCCATGTGTTATGTTTCATTTAAATACAAAAATGAATTATACAAAACCACTCAAGCTATATTTTTGGCAAATATTTCAGAGTGTTTTCATGAAGCAATACTAACCTCTAATATGAAATTGTAGGGCATGCTAGGATAGTCCGAAATAAGTCTAGAGCAGTGGTTCTCAACCTTCCTAATGCCGCGACCCTTTAATACAGTTCCTCATGTTGTGGTGACCCCCAACCATAAAATTATTTTCGTTGCTACTTCATAACTGTAATTTTGCAGTGGGAGGAGTAGTGCCACATCATTGGTGTCAGTGAGAGGAGTAGTGCCCCATCATTGATGTCAGTGGGAGGAATAGTGTCCCATCGTTGGTATTAGTAGGAGGAATAGTGCCCCATCACTGATGTCAGTGGGAGGAATAGTGTCCCATCATTGGTATCAGTGGGAGGAATAGTGTCCCATCATTGGTGTCAGTGTGGGAGGAATAGTGCCCCATCATTGGTATCAGTGGGAGGAATAGTGCCCCATCATTGGTGTCAGTGTGGGAGGAATAGTGCCCCATCATTGGTGTCAGTGTGGGAGGAATAGTGTCCCATCGTTGGTATCAGTGGGAGGAATAGTGTCCCATCATTGATATCAGTGGGAGGAATAGTGCCCCATCATTGGTATCAGTGGGAGGAATAGTGCCCCATCATTGGTATCAGTGGGAGAAATAGTGTCCCATCATTGGTATCAGTGGGAGGAATAGTGCCCCATCATTGATATCAGTGGGAGGAATAGTGCCCCATCATTGGTATCAGTGGGAGGAATAGTGTCCCATCGTTGGTATCAGTGGGAGGAATAGTGTCCCATCGTTGGTATCAGTGGGAGGAATAGTGTCCCATCGTTGGTATCAGTGGGAGGAATAGTGTCCCATCATTGGTATCAGTGGGAGGAATAGTGTCCCATCATTGGTATCAGTGGGAGGAATAGTGTCCCATCATTGGTATCAGTGGGAGGAATAGTGCCCCATCATTGGTATCAGTGGGAGGAATAGTGCCCCATCATTGGTATTAGTAGAAGGAATAGTGCCCCATCATTGGTATCAGTGGGAGGAATAGTGCCCCATCATTGGTATCAGTGGGAGGAATAGTGCCCCATCATTGGTATCAGTGGGAGGAATAGTGCCCCATCATTGGTATTAGTAGAAGGAATAGTGTCCCATCATTGGTATCAGTGGGAGGAATAGTGCCCCATCATTGGTATCAGTGGGAGGAATAGTGCCCCATCATTGGTATTAGTAGAAGGAATAGTGTCCCATCATTGGTATCAGTGGGAGGAATAGTGCCCCATCATTGGTATCAGTGGGAGGAATAGTGCCCCATCATTGGTATCAGTGGGAGGAATAGTGCCCCATCATTGGTATCAGTGGGAGGAATAGTGCCCCATCATTGGTATCAGTGGGAGGAATAGTGCCCCATCATTGGTATCAGTGGGAGGAATAGTGCCCCATTGTCAGTGTGGGAGGAATAGTGCCCCATCATTGGTGTCAGTGTGGGAGGAATAGTGCCCCATCATTGGTGTCAGTGGGGGAGAATAGTGCCCCATCATTGATACTAGTGTGGGGGGGAATTGTACCCCATCATTGGTGTCAGTGGGGGGGATAGTGCCCCATCGTTGGTGTCAGTGGGGGGAGGAACAGTGCCCCATCGTTGGTGTCAGTGGGGGGAGGAATAGTTCCCCATCGTTGGTGTCAGTGGGGGGGGGGGGGGAGGAAATAGTGCCCCATCATTGGTGCCAGTGGGAGGAATAGTGCCCCATCATTGGTATTAATGACACCAATGATGGGGCACTATTCCTCCCACTGACACCAATGATACTTACCTTGCTGACTCCTGCTCCAGCCTGGGTTCGCTCCCTCCCTCTCCCATCTACAGCCAGCATACCTGGCTGCAGCAGCACCATCTGCACACTACAGACGCTTACCTATTAGCTGTCTTCCTTCTCCGACCACTCCCTTGCTCGATCTTCTTTGCGCTTCGCGCTGCTGCTCGGCTCCTCCTCTCCAAGCTCCACCTCCTCGCCGGTGATTGGCCGCCTGTGTGCCTCTCCTGAGCTACAGTTCCGGCGGCCAATCACTGGTGAGGAGGCGGAGCTGTTGAGTGATCCCGGGGATGTGGCCAGATGACAGGGGCGGCATGTCATCCCGCCCACACATCGCGGTCCAGGGAAATGTGGGCGTATCTGCATGTGGGCGGACCCACCTGGAGACTGATAGAGGAGCGGTGTCTCGGTTCCTAAGACCATCGGAAATATGTGTTTTCCGATGGTCTTAGGAGACCCCTGTGAAAGGGTTGTTCGACCCCCAAAGGGGTCGCGACCCACAGGTTGAGAACCGCTGGTCCAGAGCAACACCACGAGGGATAAAAAAAACTGAGAAGCTCTGTCTCAACTGGTGCCATTGACCATAGCAACCAATTATCTTCTATCTTTCACTTTTGTCCACACAGCTTAGAAAGGTAAATTTTAAAGCCAGTTGGCTGCTCTTGAAGTGTTACTAAACCCACAACAGTAAAATCAGTCTGTATATGCAGTAAAGCATGCTTGTTACTCATTGCTAAACCTAAGGGGTTAATCCTCTGTATTATGTAATAAGGTTGTTTGATCCTGTCTTCTCTGATCCTCCCCTTCTTTCTATGCCCCCCATTTTATCTCCTTATAAGGCATATCTTGTGGAGAAACTCTGCACATGCTCAGTGTGGTGTGTATTGCTAGAGAGGGTTTTTATTCACAGCTGTCACAGCAGAAATCGCACTGTGATACCGCACTTTGAAACCGCATTAGATTTGCGCGACATCAGGGTGGTAAAGGAATATTTTTGTTGCAATTTTTGACTGGCACACAGATGTACTTAAACTTTGAGCTTACCACATGTGTAAGGGACCGTTACTTTTTAATATATTTATAAACAATACAGGGTCTGGGATTACAAATCCCATTTCAGTCTTTGCAGATGACACCAAGCTGTGCCGTGGAATAACGTCCTTACAGGATGTCTCCAGCTTACAAGCCGACCTCAATGCACTGATCAGAGGGGTCCCTAGGATTGGTGTCACCCGGTGCGGTAACACTTGGTGACACTCCCTCCGATGATCCCTGCAGAATGGATCGGATCTGAAGATTGAGCATAATGGATCAGACTCCGATTCATTATACTCAATCCGCAGATGTGATCCATCCTGCAGGGATCATTGGCTTTCTTTACAACTTACCTTTTCTTGGAGCGGGTCCGGTGTAGTGGCAAGATGTGTCTCCTATGTAGATATGTCCCCCCTGAAACAACTGCACATGTCCCGGTTTCAGGCACGATCAATCGATGATAGATCTACTGTATCTGACCATGTACCTTTGGTGAAGTAACCCCTTCCATGCCAATTTGCTTCAGAGGGGACATATTATTATTATTATACAGGACTTATATAGCACCAACAGTTTGCTCAGCACTTTACAATATGGAGGGAGACAGTACAGTAACAATACAGTTCAATACAAGAGGGATTAGAGGGCCCTGCTCCTTGGAGCTTACAATCTAGGAGACATATCTACATAGGAGACACATCTTGCCGCTACAAGGGCCCCCCCATATCACTAACCCCCCCACATGTCACTGTCCTCCCCATGTCACTCCTTCCCCATGTCACTGTCCTCCTCACATGTGTCTGTACTCCCCATGTCACTGTCCTCCCCACATGTGTCTGTACTCCCCATGTCAGCCCCACCCCATGTAACTGTCCTCTCTAGATCACAAGCTTAATAATGGCATGCAATGCCAAGCTGCGGTTTCTAAAGCGAGCAAAATCCTCTCTTGTATTAAAAAAGGTATAGACTCCAGAGAGAGAGATATCATTTCCCCCCCGAAACAAATCATTAGTAAGACCTCATCTGGAATATGCAGTTCAATTTTGGGAACCAATTCACAAAAACAGCATTGGGGAACTGGAGAAAGTACAGAGAAGGGCAACCAAACTGATACGAGGCATGGAGGAGCTCAGCTATGAGGAGAGATTAGAGGAACTGAATTTATTCTCTCTTGAGAAGAGGAGATTAAGGGGGGATATGATCACCATGTATAATACATAAGGGGGGATATGATCTCCATGTATAATACATAAGGGGGGATATGATCTCCATGTATAATACATAAGGGGGGATATGATCACCATGTATAATACATAAGGGGGGATATGATCTCCATGTATAATACATAAGGGGGAATATGCTCTCCATGTATAATACATAAGGGGGGATATGATCTCCATGTATAATACATAAGGGGGGATATGATCACCATGTATAATACATAAGGGGGGGGGTATGATCTCCATGTATAATACATAAGGGGGGATATGATCACCATGTATAATACATAAGGGGGGATATGATCTCCATGTATAATACATAAGGGGGAATATGCTCTCCATGTATAATACATAAGGGGGGATATGATCTCCATGTATAATACATAAGGGGGGATATGATCACCATGTATAATACATAAGGGGGGGGGGTATGATCTCCATGTATAATACATAAGGGGGGATATGATCTCCATGTATAATACATAAGGGGGGATATGATCACCATGTATAATACATAAGGGGGGATATGATCTCCATGTATAATACATAAGGGGGGATATGATCACCATGTATAATACATAAGGGGGGATATGATCTCCATGTATAATACATAAGGGGGGAATATGCTCTCCATGTTTGATACATAAGGGGGGATATATGATCTCCATGTATAATACATAAGGGGGGATATGATCACCATGTATAATACATAAGGGGGGATATGATCTCCATGTATAATACATAAGGGGGGATATGATCTCCATGTATAATACATAAGGGGGGGATATGATCACCATGTATAATACATAAGGGGGGATATGATCTCCATGTATAATACATAAGGGGGGATATGATCACCATGTATAATACATAAGGGGGATATGATCTCCATGTACAATACATAAGGGGGGATATGATCTCCATGTATAATACATAAGGGGGATATGATCTCCATGTATAATACATAAGGGGGATATGATCTCCATGTATAATACATAAGGGGGGATATGATCACCATGTATAATACATAAGGGGGGATATGATCACCATGTATAATACATAAGGGGGGGATATGATCACCTTGTATAATACATATGGGGGGGATATGATCTCCATGTATAATACATAAGAGGGGATATGATCTCCATGTATAATACATAAGGGGGATATGATCACCATGTATAATTCATAAGGGGGGATATGATCTCCATGTATAATACATATGGGGGGGATATGATCACCATGTATAATACATATGGGGGGGATATGATCTCCATGTATAATACATAAGGGGGGATATGATCTCCATGTATAATACATAAGGGGGGATATGATCACCATGTATAATACATAAGAGGGGATATGATCTCCATGTATAATACATAAGGGGGGATATGATCTCCATGTATAATACATAAGGGGGGATATGATCTCCATGTATAATACATAAGAGGGGATATGATCTCCATGTATAATACATAAGGGGGGATATGATCACCATGTATAATACATAAGGGGGATATGATCTCCATGTATAATACATAAGGGGGGGATATGATCTCCATGTATAATACATAAGGGGGGATATGATCTCCATGTATAATACATAAGGGGGGATATGATCTCCATGTATAATACATATGGGGGGGATATGATCTCCATGTATAATACATAAGAGGGGATATGATCTCCATGTATAATACATAAGGGGGGATATGATCACCATGTATAATTCATAAGGGGGGATATGATCTCCATGTATAATACATATGGGGGGGATATGATCACCATGTATAATACATATGGGGGGGATATGATCTCCATGTATAATACATAAGAGGGGATATGATCTCCATGTATAATACATAAGGGGGGATATGATCTCCATGTATAATACATAAGGGGGATATGATCTCCATGTATAATACATAAGGGGGGATATGATCTCCATGTATAATACATAAGGGGGGATATGATCTCCATGTATAATACATAAGGGGGGATATGATCTCCATGTATAAATACATCAGTGGTTCATATAGTGAACTCGGTGTTGAGTTATTCACCATGAGGTCATCACAGAGGACAAGGGGGCACTCTTTACATCTGGAGGAAAATAAATGTAATCTCCAAACACAGAAAGGTTTCTTCACAGTAAGAGCTGTGAAAACGTGGAATAGACTCCCTTAAGAGTTGGTTCTGGCCAGCTCAGTGGATTGCTTTAAAAAAGTCCTGGATTGTTTCTTAGATACACAGAATCAAGGGCGGACTGACCATTTGGAAACTCGGACATTGCCTGAGGGCCCGGGGTCAGTAGAGGGCCCCATGAGATGCCCCTGGTACCTTTTTCATAGGCTTTTTTGAGTTTGGGCAAGGACACAGGGGCCCCATGATCCCCTATTGCCCGGGGGCCCCATGAGTTGTCAGTCCACCCCTGCACAGAATATAACTGGATACTAACATTTATAGCTAAAGTTGATCCAGGGAATATCCGATTGCCTCTCGGGGGATCAGGAAGGAATTTTTTTTTTCCTGCAGGAGCAAATTGGATCATGTTTTGCTGGGTTTTTTGCCTTCCTCTGGATCAACTGTGGGTATAAGATTATAACTTTTTTTTTATGGTTGAACTGGATGGACTTTTGTCTTTTTTCAGCCAAACTAACTATGTAACTATGTGTAGCGAAAACACATTTTACAAGCATAAAGTTACAGAAGGAGAGGAAAATGATTGCAAATGATGACTTTGTTTCTGCTTTCCTTTATAGGACGTGGAGAGCCTGGAAAAATAGAAGTGGAGATGGAGGAAAGCGGCAGTTGACTATCCCTGCTACTTATTTCACTTTTATACTGTTTTATATGTTTATATTTGCAAGCAAAAATATGTTTTTGTTCAAACTTCCAAAACAAAAAAGGAAAACTGCTATTGGGTATAGAGTGGGAGCTGACTGCAAATTCCTACTGCTGCTTCTGAATGCCCAACTCTCCTGATGGGTAAAGCTTCAACACTTCCAGACAGTGCAGAAGATTGTTGAAGCTTTCTGCCATGGGGTCAGAGCAGGGCAGGGTCAAGGGGTGGGCTGGAGGGGAAGCTGCCCCGGGCACTGAGGTTTCATGTGAGGTTGGGGGGGTACTATGAGATTGGGGGAAGGGATTTGTGTTGGGAGGGGGGCAGCAGGGGGTAAGAATGGTTCTAGAAGGGAACATTTTCGTGTGTGTGCTAAGAGTGATGATTTGGGGGATTTGTGTTGGGGGAGGAGGAATTGTACTAAGGGGAGGGGGGGGATTATGGTAGAGGGGGGAAGGGATTGGAGCTAGGAAGGGAAATTTTATTTTGGGTGATATCATGCTGGTAGGGATGATTTGGGGGGGGGGGGGGGGTGTATGTGCTAGGATGGGGAATTGGGGAGTACAATTTGTGCTAGGGGAGATGGGGGGGGGGGCAGGGATTTGTGCTGGGAGGGGGGATTTCAGTTGGGGGTGGACATATACTGGGAGGAGGGGCAATTTATGCTTAGGGGGTAAGCATGCAGATTATTTATTTATTTATTTCAGGTACTTATATAGCGCCGTCAATTTACGCAGCACTTTACATATATATTGTACATTCACATCAGTCCCTAACCCTCAAGGGGTGTACAATCTAAGGTCCCTAACTCACATTCATACATACACATTAGTGCTCAACTTTTTTTTTGAGGGGTGGGAGATTTTTTTGCTGACACATAATGCTTATACATCTTTGGGGGGGGGGGGGGGGGATCTGACTTGTTCATCCTGGGCTCTAAATGACCTTGTCTCGGAACTCGGGCAGAGAAAGCTTCAGTATAAGAAGAGCCAGAGCTTTGCCCATCAGCATAGTCAGGCTTTCATGCACCATGATTTTCAGGCTGCTGCACATGTGTGCACCTCTAGGTGTCTGCACTTTACATACACCTGCAGAAATGTTTTTTTTTTTTTTTTTTTTAAATTAACAACCTACCAAATTTTCGTTAAATGTGTTTAAACGAACAAATTAGAAAGAAATGGTTAACTTATTTATATTAAAATGCATGTCAAGCCAATATATATTTGTACTATTTATATTATTATTATTATTTTGTTCATATATAGTATTTCTATACTTTTGATGCAGGCTGTTTTTGTAGCAATATGTTAATAATGCTGTTCCCTGACTGTAAACCCTTGATGCTTGGCTTTTATGGAGTATGAATAAAGTCTGTTGGAATGTTTATATCCCCGAGTGCAGTCATCCGCCTTTTTTCTGCACAGTGTTTCCCGGCTGCGAACTGGACCGGCACCTTGTGGTGTGTAATTGGATTTGAGGGCAACTACTCAGCCCTAGTGGCCTTCACCTGGAGAAGTGTGTCTTTGTGTTTACATGTATCTAAACTTGCTTCTGATCCCTAGACAAGGATTTACATGTTAATATAGATACATTGATACAAGCGTTGTGTGTCTGTAAAGGGGCGAGTTCATGTGAAGGGGCTACCTTGTGGAAAACCATGCCAAAGTATCTCAGTGTGCTCAGGGGAACCATTCCCATGTCCAGACTTGGGTTAGAGAGTACATGTGGCAGCCAGGACTAACCACCCCACTATTACTCAACATCATTGAACTCAATATCCAGGGGTGTAAGCACAGATCATGGGGACCTGTAGCAATGTAATGTAATGGGGCCCCCAGGTACCTCCTATCAGTTTCAACTCTCAATCGCTTCTTGGCCTTTTGGCTAAGATCAAGTGTAGTATCTGTTCTTATCAGTGTCCAGTAGGGGTGCTCTGCCATCATTCTTGCGTTTAGGCGAGGATGGTTGGCTGCATAGTACCCCTGCTGGTATGATGGGGGCTCTGAAGGTTAGTAGCAGCTGGAAGAGAAACCGAGGCGCCCACACGTTGTTGGGGCCGGGGAGTAATTCCCCCAGGAAAACTGGAGGGGCCCAGTTCCTCCTGATTTGAATGGGTCTACCTTGTCTAGCCAGGGGCCGGGGAGGCAGAGAGTCCACAGAGAAGTCGCTTCAGGGGTGCTCTTAGTAACACTTGGGGGTGGGATCCTAAGTGTGAAAAGTGCACATGGATACTGTTCCAAACACTTTCTCTGCACTGCGCCTCTTTTAGGGCTAGGCCTTTTGAATAAGAGGGGAAGCAGACACAAAGAGGAAATAGATGAGGCCCACAACCATTGAGAGGGAAGTGGAGGGACCAACACACAAAGAAAGGAAGCAATGGGGCCCAAAACCCCCAAAAAAGGGAAGAATAATGGTCTGCACTTACAGAAAAAGAACGGTAGGGACCAGAACCCACAGAAAAGGAATGGTAGGAGCCCCCAACCTGCATGCATGTGATCAGCATGAAAACCAGGCAGAGATAGCATAAGGCAGAATGGCCATAGGCAGGGGCGCAGCTATCCCTCACATTCTTTTAATTCACAAATTGCTCCATTGCTTGATTGTCTGTACTGACATAGCCCACTCCATCAGACCCCAAGGGAGGTTCATCCTCCCTTTTCAAATGACAGTCAGGTGTGACTAATTGCACTATCACTTAGCTGGGGGTTGGCAACCCTTCAATCATGATCTGCCTGTCAATTGCAGGTTTGTTGATGGGTAGTCCCTTCCCTACCAACCTCTGGAACTTGGACAGGAGGGGAGGCGGGGTCAGTTTTTACGGATACCAATCCCCTTACCTCCTGCAGCCACTGAAAGCTGCCTCTCCTCTTCTCCCTCTCATTGGCATTCAGAGCCTGCAGGAGGAAAGAGGATCAATACCATTAAATGACGTCCTTGCTGCCCCTCCTGTCACTGTTCCTAATCTTCTCTATCTTCAGCTGCTAAGCCCCCTCATGTGTTCCCTGTGCCCACCCCTCCCTTGGCGGCTCTGCCTGCTTCCCTCCTCTCCCACCTGCTGCAGGGAATGTTTCAGGATGGAGAGTGGGGGAAGGGGCCAGTAAATATGTAATATACCAGCACCTTCTTTTCCTGAATGATCACAGTGAGCAATCGGTACAGATTGCTCCTGTGTCTACTCATAACTGAAGAATAGCAATCTGTATTTACTATGCTTCTGTTTCTGAATGAACAGGAAACCACTAAGCACAGAGCACTTCTTATTCATTCATTGTCCAGTGAGGATGAGGCTGCAGAGAAAGGGACTGGGGAATCTCTGACCTCAGTCCCTTTCTCTTTCCTAAAAGTGAGACATCAGGGTTCTGATCTGAGCTGATATTTCACCAAAGACCACCAACAGGGCTCCCAAAAATGTTTAAAAAAATTATTTTGTAAAAAAAATATAATTGTTAAAAATAATACAATAAAAGTAAGATAATAAAAAAAATTACTGACATAGCTGCCCTACTGACACCAATCTGTCCTGCTGACACTGTTCATTGCTCCACTGACACCATTCACTGCTTTACCAAAACCGTCCTCTGCCCTGCTGACATTATCTACTGCTCAACTTACAACACATTTGCTCTACTAACACCATCCACTGCCCTACTGACATTATCCTCTGCTCTACTGACACCATCCTCTGCTCTACTGACACTGCCCACACACCGTCCACTGTCCCTACTGACACCATCCTCTGCTCTACTAACACCATCCACTGCCCCACTGACACATCCTCTACCCTACTGACATCATCCTCTGCTCTACTGACACTGCCCACACACACTGTCCACTGTCCTACTGACACCATCCTTTGCTCAACTAACACCATCCACTGCCCCACTGACACATCCTCTACCCTACTGACATCATCCTCTGCTCTACTGACACTGCCCACACACTGTCCACTGTCCTACTGACACCATCCTTTGCTCAACTAACACCATCCACTGCCCCACTGACACATCCTCTACCCTACTGACACCATCCTCTGCTCTACTGACACTTCCCACACACCGTCCACTGTCCTACTGACACCATCCTCTGCTCTACTAACACCATCCACTGCCCCACTGACACATCCTCTACCCTACTGACATCATCCTCTGCTCTACTGACACTGCCCACACACTGTCCACTGTCCTACTGACACCATCCTTTGCTCAACTAACACCATCCACTGCCCCACTGACACATCCTCTACCCTACTGACACCATCCTCTGCTCTACTGACACTTCCCACACACCGTCCACTGTCCTACTGACACCATCCTCTGCTCTACTAACACCATCCACTGCCCCACTGACACATCCTCTGCCCTACTGACACTATCCTCTGCTCTACTGACACTGCCCACACCGTCCACTGTCCTACTGACACCATCCTCTGCTCTACTAACAACATCCACTGCCCACACACCGTCCACTGTCCTACTGACACCATCCTCTGCTCTACTGACACTGCCCACACACCGTCCACTGTCCTACTGACACATCCTCTGTCCTACTGACACTGCCCACACACCGTCCACTGTCCTACTGACACATCCTCTGCCCTACTGACACTGCCCACACACCGTCCACTGTCCTACTGACACATCCTCTGTCCTACTGACACCGCCCACACACCATCCACTGTCCTACTGACACCATTCTCTGCCCTACTGACACTGCCCACACACCATCCACTGTCCTACTGACACCGTCCACTGCACCACTTACACAACCTCTGCTCTACTGATACCATCCTCTGCTCTACTGACACTGCCCACACTGTCCACTGTCCTACTGACACCATCCTTTGCTCAACTAACACCATCCACTGCCCCATTGACACATCCTCTACCCTACTGACACCATCCTCTGCTCTACTGACACTTCCCACACACCGTCCACTGTCCTACTGACACCATCCTCTGCTCTACTAACACCAT